CGCACATTTCATCCCATTTAAAAAAAAAAATAAATATTAAGAATTTCAAATTTACACTTTTGCAATCTCTGACGTCACCTATCAAAAGTGTCACGGTTTGCCCCCAGGTACAAATGTGAATAAAAACCATTTTTCTAAATGTATTTTAAAGTAGATATAAATTTAATAAAATTGTAAAATAAAACTTAAAGAACTTACGTTAAAATGATCTTCACAGCAAAATCTCGTACTTTTGTTGACATATTGTTGTCTTGCCGCTTCAAACCAGGCTCTTCGACGGCTTTCATCCAAAGGAACAGTTATAAAAACTTTTTCTGGAAAGCCTTCAGAATTATTTAGACAGCCCTTCACAAAACAAACTTTAACACCCTTCATTGCAAAAATAATAAAGAGGGTACAATAAAACAAAATTGAAAACAAAAGTATTTAACGCCAAACGCAAAATCCACAAAATGCAAATCTAACCTCGAACCCTCGGACGCCTCGCACATCCAAACAACTTTGGTAGTGTTTAGTGCTTCGATAAAAATGGCAGTAACCTGTTAATTATAAAAATTTAAGTTTTAATTTCTAGTAGTAAAAATTATAAAAGTAAATTTAATATTGGGGTAATAAAGAATAATCCCACATAAAAACGTATTTTTTAACGATCTTAATAAAAATAGAAAAATCTAAAGTAATTTTCGTTGCATTTCATTTTGTATTGAGGGAGTACTTTTTAATCACTTCAATTGAATTTTATATTAAAAACTAGCGTGTACCAGCGACTTTGTTCTTGTCGAATTAATCATTTGTAATGGTGATAATAAAGCAAAGCAAGAATTTCCATTAACATACAAACTGGATAAAATTTTCTCACATTTATGTCAGCATGCGAAAAAACAATATGGCGATATTATTATATAACTTGGTAATATTTGAGGGGTAGTTTCATCTCGTTGGAATTTGACTTTCGAAAAATCCGTTTGCCAAAAATAAGCGTTTTACGTCAAGCAGTTTAAGCAAATCGTGGTTAAGAAATTACCCAACTTTTTGGAACACACTGTATGATTTTTTAAAAAATCTCAAAATATGTAAAAAAACAAATAAATTATGCTTGTCCAAGTTTTCCCGAAAGACTAACCGTTTTTTAAATAACAAATATTGTAATATTTGAGGGGCGTTTTCACCCTCTTGGAATTTGAGATTCGAGAAACCCTTCCTTATCGAACCTCTACACCCCACAGTCACTCCGTTTGCCAAAAATCAGCTTTAAACGTCAAGCAGTTTAAGCAGAATCGTGATTACTCAATGGTCATATTTTATGAAACACCCTGTATAAAATTATAAAAATCTTAAAATATGTAAAACAACAAAATAAAATATACGTGTTTAAGAGTTTTTCCGAAAAAACTCACCGGTTTTTAAATAAGAAATATTTTAATATTTGAGGGATAGTTTAGCCCTTAGAATTCGAGTTTTGAAAAATCCCTTCTTATCGAACCTCTACACCCTAAAGTCAATCTGTTTTCCAAAAATCAGCTTTTTACGTCAAGCGCTTTAAGCAGGATCGTGATTAATCAATGACCAGATTTTTCGAAACACCCTGTACACATTTTTAAAAAATCTTAAAATATGTAAAAAAACAAAATAAAATATACGTGTTAAAGCGTTTTTTCGGAAACTTGACCGTTTTTTAAATAAAAAATATTGTAATATTTGAGGGGTGGTTTCACCCTCTTGGAACTGGAATTTCGAAAAGTCCCTTCTCATCGAACCTCTACACCCTAGAATCAACCTGTATGCCAAAATTGAGCTTCTTACGTTGAGTGGTTTGAGCAGGATCGTGATTAATCAGTATGTCAGTCACTTAAGGATTTTATATATTAGTCTAGATAATAGATAACAAAATTTTACTATGGTTAAAAAACATCGGATTATGGTGTAGCCTCCCTCACATATTTAGATACTCTCTTTGTAATTGGGCCCATTGTTGTCTATTGTTGGCTAAGTTATCCCTGCTAATTTCCTAATATCATGATCCCATCTCAGGTTTGGTCTTCTTCTGAATTTTTTTATTTTTGGGATCATTGGAAAATTGTATAATCGTATATTTAAGATTTAAAAAATATACTAGCTGTTATCAAGCTTTTATGTTATTTATATAGGACATGCTTCTAGGATGAAACAAACTTAACGGAAGCAAATAAATTTATTCAAAATGTATGCATATGTTTATGTATGAAGTGACTTGAATTATCTATCATCCCGTCTAACCTTATAGAGCGGGAATGCGATTGAGTCTAGTCGTCTGAAATCAAGATCAAACGGAAAAAGACCAAGTGATCTTGTAGACTGAATTAATTCAACGTGCTGATGGGAATACTGACGTCGCATCTACATAAAGAACTGTTGTACTAATTTGTTAATAAATTATTAATGGGAAACATTCATTAGATGTATCACTAACTTCATCGTGAACACGAAGGAAGTTTGTAAAGTACTGATCTATCTCTTAAGTATTTTTTGAGAATGAAGTTATGATAATGTTTCAAGTCGATAGCATAGTTAAAAACTGGCTTCGGAAGTTGCGTCCGAGTCTTATGTTTATTTTTACTACATTTTGCATATGCAATTGATATGCTTATAGATACATTTTATACTACCGGGTAACACACCACAATACAGGGATCCAGTTTTCAAAAAAGGCTCTATATCAGGATTGCTTTTTGAGATGTTGATTCCGTTTAACCGAACTCGAAAATTAGTTACTCAGAAATAGTATTGCCTATACCGGGTGCGTCTCAAAAGTGGCTTACAACCTAATAACTTGTTTATTTTTTCAGATAAAAAACCGAGATTTGGTATTTTATTGTATGACATAAATTGGAATTGATTGACGTATTCAACTGTTTTTGGTCATTTCCTGTTTCACCGGAAATAACTACAACTTTTGATTGCTAAATGGCACCCTCGGTATTTTGTACTTTGTTCGATAGAAAATGACACTCACTAAATGACATTTTTAAATATGGTTTATTTTAAATGGCAACATGCGATTCATAACGACAATTTGACCCGAAATACCAAGTGACCAAATTATTCGTAAAAAATGCTTTTTCTAAATATGCTAATGAACCACCGTCGTTCCATTTGAAAAATGATTAAAAATACGATTTGGGCGTCTTTTAACCGACCAGGACGAGACAGTAAAAACAATCGATGATCAAATCTATTTTTCCAAGGTTCCTTGATTAAAAATTATTGTTTTTAACACAGCCATGGCACTCTAGATTCAAATTTAAATTACAATTTTGTTTTAAGCAAGTTTGTTTTAATAACATTATATGTCATTCTATTCAAGTAATAAACAAAAAGGTAAAAAGATACCGAGGGTGCCATTTAAAAATCGAAAGTTGTAGTCATTTCCGGTGAAACAGGGAGTCGCCGAAAACAATTGGATACGTCAGTCAATCCTATTTTATGTCATATACCTACTAACATACCAAATCTCGTTTTTTTATCTGAAAAAATAAAAAAGTTATAGGGGTGAGCCACTTTTGAGACCAACCGGTATATTTTACTAAATACAGATATCTATTAATAAGTAGATGTTATATAACTGTAGATTATATAAGAAAATTAAAACTTAAACTTTATTTTATAATTTGATTATTAAAAACACAGTCTAATCTGAATGTTTTAATAAAAACCGGATATGATGACTGATTAAAATTAATTATTTTTCTGGACCGTTCTTAACTTCATTATAATTTGTTTAACTCTTAAATTTAAGAATCGTTTACATTTGTCATTTTTAATGAACATGATGGAGAAATCAACCAAAGTGATATACTATGTAAATTGTCTCTAATTTTTGCTTCTTCCAAGGTGAACACTAAATGATGAAGAATTTATGATGAAGTATGAAAGAATAGTTTCTCGATCCGATGATTCATCCAGAGTAAAGGCTCAGTGAAAAGTGAAAGCTATAAAGAGTCCAGCTTTATTTATGAATTTTGCTTAACAATTACCAGAAGCTTCTCTGTCGTAGTTTTTGTGTTTAGTATTGTGAAGGGTATTGGTGTGACATTATTATATATTGTTCGTCATTATTCGTCATTATATAATCTTTGTATAACTTCCCGAAGAAGACATCTTACTACCTATGAAACGGCGAACGGGATGAGAATATATAAACAAGGATAGTAGAGGGAGATGGAGGTTTCTGCATCTTCCACATTTTCGAGGATGCGGTGGAAGGTGACGTAAATCAACAAAGAACATGTAAAATAGGCTAAAAACAAGAGGTTTAAACAAGAAACAACAGCTATAAAACAGAAATAAATCGGTTTAAAGAAGAAAAAACAGACCTGTTGTTTTAAACATTTTAGCGGCTGTTATTTTACATGTTTCTTAGTTGGTTTACATCATCCTTCACGGCATCTTTCACAGTGTGGATGATGCAGAAACCCCTTCTCCTTTACTAAGGATGATTGTTTTTAGTTTATTTCACTCACAAACTTGAGTTTATTCACTTTTTATTCAATCCCAACCTGTCCATGAAATTAGATCGTACGGTATAAAATGTCCGTGTTTCAATACACTTATCTGCTTATGAATCGTACATAAAAACAAAACACAATATTCATATAAATTGAATGCAATAGTCTGTGAAACTGTCTAATTTACACATAATACAGTTACATAATTTAATGGCGTTTTTAATCATATATTGTAATGCAAGTAATAATACAAATAATTTATAAAAAATCTTAAGTATTTTTTTTATCTTTTTGTTGTAAATTCCTTCAGAAACTTTGTTGTTTTATAAAGAAAACGTCTACTACCGGAATTTAATCAAAACGGGCTTGTTTATTCTATTAAAAGGAAAAGCACAATTTAGTAATTATCCACGGCTCAAGATTGTTTCCCGTTTTTATACGTCAAGTGAATGACGTATTTTTTGCGATGCTTCTCTGATGTACAGCGAGAGTTCAATAACATTTTTTTTGTTGCAGGAGGAGCTAGAATCTTTAAAAATCAAGCTCCAGAAATTGGACAACGAGAGAACATCTTTGAAACACGACAATGATAAGCTAGAAGCTAAGGTAAGGAGATACAAGATACGATATGCATTTTCCTAATTAAAAATATAGTGTTTTTTACTTACTATCTTTTGTATGTACTCGCTTTCGTATGTAATTAATAGTTTGTAACGGAAAGGTTGGGAAAAAGGAAGACATTTTTTTCGCAAAAATATTTGGTCCATCATACCACAATCATGTGCCAAAAATATCTAGTTTATTTGTTTTGACATTGAAATTCTTGGTTATAGTCTTGGAATAGAGTCATAGAATTGTAAATAAAATTTAGAATCTGGGTACTGAGGAGTGGTGGAGTTTGCTGCTTTTGATATTACACCTTACACCCCTAATACATGCAATTTTATTTTTAATATGTTGGTGTAGAATATTAGATCATCCAATTGAAGTTCATGTGGTCAAATTGTCGCCTGTTAAGAACGCACGTAATAAATATGCATCAAGTTAAAGAGGTACACTTACACTATATAACCCGGTGACATAAAGCCACGTTTATCGAGTTGCTCGTGCCTTTAATTTACTGTTTGCTACGATGTTGTCACTTTTAATATTATTATTATTAAATATTTTGCGACAAATTATTACACATTACATTTATCAATTTATTTTTAATGTCTTATCTCTCTAAAAGTTGCTAAGATAATATTAATGGCAAAATTATATAACAATTAGAGCTTATTCAGGCACAAAATACCATAAACAAGAAACAAAAGTATAATGGTGGTGGCTTTGCTTGTAAAACTTTTAAGGGTGGGACACATTAGTATTATTTTCGATGTTTTAAATAAATTATATTATCATTTTAGAATATGATAATAAATATGATATGGCAACAATGTGGACGTTAATTTACGCACCGCTAGATATTTACATATTATTTGAGTTACTAGAGTATACGAGTTTGAATTTTAAAGTGTCAATTATATATTTGATTTGACACCAATACTTACAATGGGTACTATATCTTCAAAATAAATTTTGAAATACATTTGAGTTACAGCATTATCACGAAATGTTACAATGAAAAAGAAAAAAGTTTATTAAATATTTAAAACACATCTACTATACAATACTTTAAACTCGAAAACTACTTAAAATAATAAATATTAACTTAAAATTGAAAATGAGAACTTTAGATGTATGAAGATAGATGTGCTAAAAATTTTGTGACGCAAATTATTGAAGGAAAAAACAGATATAAGCTTCATTCAGAACCTCCCAATTAGTGGAATAAATTAATGGTTTCAATTACACTTTATACTTTTTAGTTTACGATCATTCACAATGTCTAAAAAACACAATTGAAATTAATAAAATATCCTAGTAACAGCTTGCGGTAGTCTGTTGTATCCATAGAGAAATCCTAATATTTAGCTTATAAAACAATAAACTTTTGATTTCTAACCAAAATTTTTCTTGGCGGGTGATAATCAAACGCCAAAATGACATTCCTCGCAAATTTTGAAGTATAATTAGTAGAAAAGTCAAAAGTTTGTTAACCTTTTCTACTAATTGAAAATTATTACCACTAATTATGATGTTCTGAAGACTTACATTAAAATTAGGTGAACAAACTTCTACGACTAATTGAAACTACCAATTTATTCCACTGATTTCGAGGTTCTGAATGAAGCTATAGAGTTTTTTTGGAAGACTGGGCCACCCCAATAATACTGGAAGTACACACTCGCCGAGACGACCCGAGGCGCGACAATCCCAATTTCCAATATTCCGGGCACATAGAACTGCTACATATTTTTAGAATCGAAGTAACTTAATTGAGTACAATTTATTTCTATAGAAAATTACTTGACTTGTCCGTTAGAGGGCAACAATAAAAATAAATTAAAAAACATTAATTAATTTAAAAATTAAGAAGATTATATTCAAAAATAATTTTTCGCACTGACAATTCTCACAGTTTTGCCATGTAGATTATTATCGCCTACTAGATTTTAATGCTTGATGTGATAAGAAATATTTTTTTAGATTAGAAAAAACATTTTTTCTCAAACTATTCGGGGTGAAATGTTTTTATAAGAGACAAACATGTAGTAAATAATCAAGAACAGTCAATCTTTTACTGTTCTTGGTAATAATAAAAAGATCTTTTTTAGAATTTATGTAGGATGAGGACAGTTTTCGCTCTTCTTGTACTCTTTGTGATAGTGATAGAAATGTTAACTTAATAAAACATAGACAACCCCAAACTCATTAAAAACGGAATATTGGTTCTTAAAATATCTTAAACAATATATTTAGTTTTTTTTTAAATTGGTTGTCTTCTAATTGACAAACCAAAATCTTTTATAGCGGGTGCGTCTCAAGAGTGGCTCACCCCTATAATTTTTTTTAGATAGAAAAAACGAGATTTGGTATGTTAGTATATAACATAAATTAGAATTGACTGACGTATATTTGATTTTTAAACGTCATCGTCGGTTTTTTTTTACTTTATTCGGTAGAAAATGACCCTCTGTATAGAATGACATATCATATGTCAAATTTTGACATTTTTGCATATGGTTTATTTGAAATTGTAACATGCTGTTCATAACGACAGTTTTACTCGAAAAACCAAGCGTGTGGTACCAAATTATTCGTAAAAAAATGCTTTTTGCAAATATGCTAATCAGCCACCCTTGTTCCATGTGAAAAACTTGAGATATGATTAAAAATACGATTTGGGCATCTTTTAACCGGCAAGGACAAAACAGGAAAAACATTAGACAATGAAATCTATTTTTCAAGGCTCCTTGATTAAAAATTATTGTTTTTAACACAGCCATTGCACTCTAGATTCAAATTTAAAATACAATATTTATTTAAGTCAAAATGTCAAAAGTTGACATATGATATGTCATTCTATTCAGGCTGTCATTTTCAATCGAATAAAGTAAAAATATACCGGAGGCGCCATTTAAAAATCAAATGTTTTAGTGATTTTCGGTAAAATAGGAAGTGATCAAAAACAATTATTATTGAATACGTCAATCAATCCTAATTTATGTCATATACTAACACACCAAATCTTGTTTATTTATCTGAAAAAATAAAAAAGGTATAGGGGCTGTAAATTCTCTTCAATTAACTTATTTTGATTCTAAAAATACGTAGTAGTTCAATGTCCACGGAATATTAGGACACCCTGTATCCCCAAAGAAAGTATTTAAAAAAATGTGAGCATATTCATCCAAGTTTATTTAACAGTTATATAGTAGACCTAGCGGCAAGACGTTCTATGTTTAACGCCACTTATATGGATGCCGATAATAAGACTCGCTCCACAACGTTTATATCGACAGTTAAACTGATTCCAGTGACAATAACAAATCGCTGAATTTGCCACGCCCCTGGTTCAGCCCGAGTGGCATTAACCTAAATTCTTCTTTCCGCATTGTGTGTGTAATCGAGTAGCTACATTTCTGTAATTGCACTGTTATGGACAACCGAACCAATCCTTCAGGTGGATATGATTAATTTCCGTTTCAAAAATAGACTCCTGGAATTTCAGTAGATATTTAATTTATAGAATTATTTACTGAAAATAAGAAAACGCTAAATATATTGTATGGTCAGATTATCTTAATACTACAGATCAGAGATGGGTAGATTCAGTATTTTAAAAGAGTCGGGTCTGGAGTTATAGTTTGTCCAACGACAAGATCCTTGACAGTGATAGATGTGTTTATTATTTTAATTTCAAAGTAGTTTATTTTATTTTACACAGAAATAAGTTGGTGCAACTGGAACGCACAGCAGGAAATTAATATTATATTTAAAATTTGACTGATAAGTGATTACTTCAAAATATTGTGAAAAAAAACTGTATAAAACTGAAAAAATGTATTGGAGTTATTTTATTTAAAAAAAGATATGTGTTAATACAAAACAAACAAGAACAAAACACCACATAACCACCATAACTTATGCACAAATACAAATGTGTAATATTCCACAGAATTAAATAAAATAACATAAATAAAACAAACTATTTTATTAATAATAACACTTACCAAATTTTATACCTTAAAGGTTGATTAATTAACTTTACTCTTAATTTTTTTAAACCAGTACCTTTTGACATTATTTTTCTGCAGTACTAAAATCCATTATTTACCTATCGTGTGATGTCGATATTTTACAGCTACTCCAGTAGTATATACTCGTATTTAGTACGATCCTTGTAGCATATACGAGATGCACTTATCTACTACGAGATGGTATACAAACTTTATTGATGGTAATTTTATTGGTGTATAAGACTTTCTGCCTAGGCAGCGAGTATTAATTATAAACTCTGCTCTGGGTCTACAGTTAATTTTCCCTCGATTTTTCTTCCACTTGACTTCAAAAGACACAAAACACACGTAATAACACGAATCAAAATGCATCATCTTCCAAAACGCAGATATTTGACATAAGTTGACACAAAATTATAACCTATAATTTGGCAAGACTGACAAGTCTCAAAAATCTAAAGGTGAGTTCATACGTATCGGCGTCCGTTTGTCATGCATCGTTCCGTCAAACCAATTAAACTTAAATAATGATCTGTAATTTTTGAAATAAACCAATAAAACTGGTTAAAAACAACAAGAGAGAACTCATGACGGATTTATATTTAAATCCATCCGTAGTTAACTTAAAAAATACTAGATTTTTTTAGTAAAATAAATAGATTGGTATAGGACGTCATCTGCTTTTCTTCTGTTATCGTCTGTCGAAAAACAGAGTATACATTAAGCTAGGAAACGTCATGTTCTTTGCGTCTAAAGGTAAGGATAACATTTATTGAGACGCATTGTAGTTATAGGCTCTAGAATAGAGTTGATTTTCAAATCGGTAGGTTGTTATATGAGACAATAATATAGAATAAAAACACAGGGTGTGCAATATGAAAATATAGGGTGTTTCCAAAAATGTGTATAATCCCTCGCGGGGAGATGGTTCAGGATTCTGCTTTGTTTCGTACCTACAGGAGGTTAAAGCCTTCATCTTTTATC